TTAAAGTTCTTAGGGCTTAATATTGCAAATACTCTAACTTGGAAAACACATATTGACTCACTTATCCCGAAACTTAGCTCTGTGTGCTATGCAATCTGAGTCATAAAACCATTTGTGAATCAGGAAACTTTGCTGATGGTTTATTATGCCTATTTTCACTCTATTATTCGATATGGCATTATTTTTTGGGATAATTCTTCGTACGCCAGCAATGTCTTTCGTTTGCAAAATAGGACAATGAGACTAATAACTGGTGCTGGTAATAGAGACTCATGCNACTAATGGAATTGATATTCACTACTCTAAAAATTCTTACTCTGTCATCTTTGTATATTTATTCACTACTATCTTTTGTGGTCGATAGCATGGATCAATATTATTTTGTATCTGATATACATAATAGAGACACTAGACAGGTACTCAACATAAATCTATATCAACCCTCAACTCGTTTATCATTATATCAAAAAGGCTCATATTATATGGGCATCAAACTATTCAATTGTCTCCCACTAAATTTGAAGCAATTATATAAAGATATTAAGCGGTTTAAATTAAAACTAAAAGAATTCTTGAGTTGTCACCCATTTTATACTGTGGATGAATTTTTTGTATATACTAGTCGGTAAGATTAATCGTATTCTGGTTCTATTCTTATGTCTTGACTTAGTTCTTTGTGCTACTTATTTATCTAATATGACTTTTCCACATCCTAAAGTGTTGGATTTTTATGAAATAATAGATGAGTAATGAAAATGAAAAAAGAGCTTGTACTGACACCTGAAACCTTTGAGAGTTCTATAATAAGATGTCTTGGCTCTGTGTTGTTTTTGTAAACTTGGGGAGTTTTGTTATATGAATGGTTGATATGTTCTTTTTTATTTGTTTTATATTGTGAATGCCTTGACTTGTCACCCATTTTATACTGTGGATGAATTTCTGTATATACTAGTCAGTAAGATTAATTGTATTCTGGTTTCTATTCTTATGTCATGACTTAGTTCTTTGTACTACTGATTTATCTAATATGACATTTCCACATCCTAAAGTGTTGGATTTTTATGAAATAATAGATGAGTAATAAAAATGAAAAAAGAGCTTGTACTGACGCCTGAAACCTTTGAGAGTTCTATAATACGAGTATGATGTCTTGGTTCTGTGTTGTTTTTGTAAACCGGGGGAGTTTTGTTGTATATATAGCTGATATGTTCTTTTTTTTATTCGTTTTATATTATGAATGCTTCGACTTGTGACCCATTTTATACTGTGGATGAATTTTTTGTATATACTAGTCAGTAAGATTAATTGTATTCTGGTTCTGTTCTTATGTCTTGACTTAGTTCTTTGTACTACTTATTTATCTAATATTACTTTTCCACATCCTAAAGTATTGGATTTTATGGAAATAATAGATGAGTCATAAGTTCCATACTGGTGGAGTTTTGTTGTATATATGGCTGATATGTTCTTTTATTTTGTTTCATATTATGAATGCCTTGACTTGTTCCTGTGGGAATGGAATGCTTGTTTTTTGATGTGTGACTCATTCTATATCCAATGGTTGTTTCCAAGCCTGTATCTGGATCTATTTTTGAATTTGAAATAAATTGAATTGAATTAAAAAGAAAGTGTATAGCAGGGATACCATTTGGAAGTATTACTTGTCTCTGTTACTTTTAAATTCAAAAAAGTATAAAGCTGAGATAAGATTTGGTTGTGGGGGAAGGAACTGGTTAGGTGGTGAGAATGCATCATTAGTTTGCTTTCCTTGTTGTGTTGGAGTGTGTTATGACCATTATTTTGGTGTAAATATTTTTTTATGATGTCTTCAAGTTAAACAGGAAGCTCTGGGATGAACTAATCACTTATTCTCCTTTCGCTGCAGTTTAATAATTTGATACAAGTATAAAAAAACTTCAGTATATGTGGTGTATATAAAAAGTTCCTGAAATTTGTCTGTAAATCAGCGGTGCATTGGTCACTTTAGGTGGTGTTTGAGTGATCTTGGTACCTGACCATTAGTTTCACAAGCCATTTTGATCAAAGTAGAGAGGACGTCCTGTTTAGTTTTTATAACTGGTTTTGTGAGCTGGTTTGTTGCTGTCATGTCACATCTAGTATGGAGTCTAAAGGGCAAAGAAATTGTGTTAAAGTATGTTTCATAGTAGGGAAACCAGCTGCAGAAACTCACAAGATGTTGCATGAAACCTGCAGTGATAATGCCTTGAGTCAAACAATGACCCGTGAATGATTCAGATGTTTTAGACCTGGAAGAAGATCGACAGATGACAAGCAATTTGTCTGATCTTCAGCTTCAAGGTCCAAACCTCTGATTACCCAGGTGAAAAACATTTTCCATGGAAATCGACTGTCCAAAAAGCTGCAGAAGAGGTTGGAGTATCCATTGGTCCATGCTACACAGTTTTAATAGAAGATTTAGAAATAAATCGGGTCTCAGCAAAACTTTTACCAAGACTTTTGACTGATGATCAAAAACTGCAGCAATTTGCCATCTGTGAAAATCTCTAACACATGTCATTACCAGTGATCAGACATTGATCTTCGGTTATGACGTTGAAACCGAAGAGAAGTCCTCACATTGGAAGATTGCTGCTTCACCTCGCCCCAAGAAAGCATGACTGCTGTGCTCATGAGTGAAAGTGATGCTGCTTTTTTTTTTTATATCGAGGCATTTTGCATTATGAATTCACTCCTGAAAGTCAGACAATCAGGATTTTTATCTAGCAGTTCTGAGATATCTGCAAGATGCAGTATAAAGAAAGCAACCTGAAATGTGGACTGTGGGGAGCTAGATCCTCCATCACACTAATGCACCTGCTCACACAGGATTGTCAGACAGTGTTTGGCAATTCAATTCTAACCCTTCCACAACTCCCGTGTTTACCTGACTTCTCCCCTCCTGAATTTATTTCTATTCCCTAAACTCAAAATTATCTTTTGGATGAAGATTTCTGGTAGTGGAAGACATGATCACTAATGTGGTGAATGACTTGAAGGTGATACCACAAACATCCTTCAAACAAGGCTTCTGGAAGTGTAAAAGACAGTGGGGGTGGGGCATTGCTGCACAAGCGGACTAAGCTCTGAGCAGAGAAAGATATTATTTATGGATAAATGTTGGGAATTTTTGAACACACCTCATATATGCATAATGAAGTCAATAATTTAATGGTACAAATTAGATCTCTGCAGAACATGAATTATGCCTGTGATAATACAATATAACATGTAAAGTTGCTGCCAGAGCCAGTATTTCAGTATCAAACTACACAGTCCTAAAGAAACCAGTCACATTTTGACACTGAGTATACTGCCATCAGTAATCTTTCTCCCTGTTTTCTGTACTTCCAAACCGTAGCAATAGTAACACTTTGCACTTGTCTTAAATCCGCTCCACACCCTCATATTTTATTTCTTTAAGATCCATTTTAATAATATTCTCCGATCTATTCCTATATGTATCAGTTACCTCATCCTGTTAAATTTTACTGTTCAGTATTACGAGGGTGATTCAAATGAAAACCTTAAATTTATAATAAAAAATCGAAATTTCACGCCATTATCCTGTAAGTTGGTGAGCATGCTACAAACAGCGCACAGAATGGCCTGTAGGTTGCAGCATAGTGCAGATGCACAAACACCGTCACAGCACCAGTATAAGATGGCTGCCCCACTTGAAACTTGCACCAGGGAAGATCAGCATTCTCTTATTCGGTTTTTGTGTAGTGAAGGTGTGAAACCTATTGAAATTTATCGAAGAATGAAGTTTCAGTATGGTGATGCATGTTTATCACATCAGCAAGTGTACGAATGGAGTAGGAAGTTTGCAAATGGTGCGACTTCAGTGGAAGATGCTCCTTGTCCGGGTCAGGCACATCGAGTTGTGACTCCAGAGAACACTGCAGCAGTTGAAGCCATAGTGAGGGAACACCGACGAGTGACATTGAGTGAAATTGCAGCAAGTTTAAACATTAGTCGTGGTTCAGCACACCACACTGTGCATGATGTGCTCCAGTTTCACAAAGTGTGTGCAAGATGGGTGCCACAGCAGCTGACTCCTGAATTGAAAGACCGAAGTATTGATGCTTGTGAAGAACTTCTGTGGCGCTTTGAACGAGAAGGTGATGACTTCCTTGCAAGAATCGTTACTGGGGACGAAAGCTGGGTTCGCTTCCACCAACCGGAAATGAAGAGAGCAAGCTAGGAATGGCGCCATTCCTCATCTCCAAAACCAAAGAAGTTTCGAACACAACGATCAGCAGGGAAGGTTATGCTGACTCTCTTTTGGGACGAAAAATGCGTCATCTTGAAGCACTACACACCTAGAGGGACCACTGTCACCAGTGCATCATACTCAGATCTCCTAAAACATCATCTTCGGCCTGCAATCAAATCAAAGCGACGTGGATTGCTGTCCACAGGTATCCTTTTGCAACATGAAAGTGCAAGGCCCCATACTGTCCATACAACAGTTGCGACACTCATTGACCAACATTTTGAGTGTCTTACTCATCCAGCATATTCACCAGACCTTGCCCCAAGTCATTTCCATATGTTTGGACCACTCAAAGAAACAATGGGAGGAAAGACGTTCCATTCTGATGAAGAGGTACGCCACGTGGTGCATGAGTGGTTGTGCGGACTACCAAAGATTTTTTTTCTAAAGGAATTCATGCACTTTGTAAGCACTGGAGGACTTGCATTGAGCATGGGGGAGGTCATGTTGAAAAGTGATACAGCTTTGTACCACTTGTGCACAATAAATAATACTCAAAAAAATATTTAAGGTTTTCATTTGACTCGCCTACGTATATTTCATGCCTCTCCTCAGCATCTGCATACTCATCCTGTCCTCCTTGATAATGCTAGCAATATTTGGAAGAAAATTTACATTCTGGATGAAATATCTATCTGGTGTTACCTTATCGTCTTTATCTAGAGATGTGGTGACAATTTGTAAAGTTTTAATTTTTTTCAAGGGAGGTGAGGGGATCATGATGACTGGTCAGAATGCTGGATTTGCTGGTCCACGTAATGTTGCTTCCAGTGCATTTCTGCGACGGAGTCCATCACCATCTGCTCTTCAGGCTTCTCCAGCAGGTCTGGGTGCTGCTCCAGCCAGGTATGGTTTTTCACTTGCTGTTATAAATTTGCTTTAAGACTTCTTAGTTTTCTGAATCTACAGTAAATTATCTTAACCATCCCCATGTTTTAAGTGTTAATATTTGAGTTCTTTTAAATGTTATCATTAATTTTAACAGTTGGTATCCTGTGCACCATGAATTTAATTATGTATGCATAGCACTATTGTTTGCTTGTAATGAGTATGCTTATCCAAATTTCCACTGCATTGAGTTTTCTTCCTGGATTTGCATAAACACTTTTGTTGTTGCAGATTAGCTGCTAACTTCTGTTCTTCAGAAGTCCCGTGAGGACTAGTGGAAACCCATCATTTTCATGCCTTGACTCATTATGAGCATGGCTGGAGAGAGAAAATAAGAGTCTTTGTCTCAACCCATTTCAGTGCATGCATGGGAGGGCAACTGCCATTGCATCACAGGAGTTAACAGAGAAAATAGTCAAATATTAACAACTTCTAATCACCCCAAGCACTCGGACCATTACTGGGTTCATTTTGTGCCCTTGATTTCATTAGAGTCCTCAGTGCTAGAGCCAGAAATTCTCTGAGGCCCTACTAATATCAGTCAGCTCAAACCATCTGGAGCTGAAGATCTTCACTCTTTCTCCTGCTGTCCATATTTCCTGCATATAACATTATCATAAAGAGCCAGAACAGTTAGGTGTCATCTCAGTGTACAGTGGCCAGTCAACAATCCTGTAACCAGTTAACACTCTTTCCTCCCCAGGGCCAGTAGGCCCTTTGACAGGTTTTCTGAGGGCCCGTTGTAACAGCCCATTATTCAGAATGGTGCTGTATTGGCCGCTCCCTAATCGTGAACATCACATGATGAGACTGGAATTGCTAGTTTTCGAATGAGAAGTTAACTGCTCAATCCCTCCCTATCCAAGGCATATGGAGTGTCATTTCCCTGGATCCTCCTCTGGCCAGGAACTCAGAGGAGTGTTGCTGTGTTCCAGTTGGCCAGGGCACAGTTTGCTTGTCAACTTTTCCAGACAAGCTTTGATGTTATCCTTGATGCCTCAAGGATTTGCAAAGCTACCTGTCTATCTGAGAAATTATAAATATGTTCGTCTGTATAGTTCCTGTCTATGCAATCCTTTGCACAGGCTAAAATTGCAAATGTTTCTGCTGAGAACACTGACATGTATGTGGAGTGAGAAGGATGTCTTTGTCTTAAGTCTCAGTCTTGCCCCAGGAACACCTGCTCTTATCTTCTAGCCATTTTTGATCCATCTGTGTGCCACATCAGCCCTGTGGGTTGGGGTTAACCAGTGTTTGCATAGTTAGATCTCCATGTTTCTCTCAGTCTTATAGACAAAGACTGTGAAAAGTGGTCTCAGTGGACCTTCCTGTTTCATATGCATGGTGATAGAAATGTAATGGATACCTCACCAGTGTTCCATTTCTTATATGTATGTCCTCACCAAGGCTCCATTTCATATACGTAGTGCGTTCAAGTTCTAAGGTCTCCGATTTTTTTTCTCACACAATAATCATACAAAAAATTTGAAACTTCTGTCACTTTTCAACCTAATCTCCCTGCAGCCGTACACATTTTTCACAACGTCGACGCCATGATTCCATGGCCGCTGCGAACGCTTCCATAGGAGTCTGTTTTGACCACTGGAAAATCGCCGATGTAATAGCGGCACGACAGGTGAATGTGCGACCACGGGGAGAGTCTTTCATCGTTGGGAAAAGCCAAAAATCGCTAGGAGCCAGGTCAGGTGAGTAGGGAGCATGAGAAACCACTTCAAGGTTGTTTTCACGAAGAAACTGCTGCATCACGTGTGTCCGATGCGCTGGTGCATTGTCCTGGTGAAAGAGCACACATGTAGCCTTTTCTGGCCGTTTTTCTCACAGTGCTGGATGGAGCTTGTTCTTCAAAACATCTTGGTAGAATGCACCTGACACCGTAGTGCCCTTTGGAACGCAGTGAGTAAGGATTATGCCATCGCTCTCCCAAAACATGGCCACCATCATTTTTCTAGCACTGGTGCTTACCCGAAATTGTTTGGTGGCGGTGAGTCTGTGCGCTTCCATTGCACTGACTGGCACTTTGTTTCAGGATTGAAAAACGGCATCCATGTCTTGTCACAATTGATGAAAAGAAAGTCCCATTCATGCCTTCATCATGTGTCAACATCACCTGGCACCACGCATGTGGAGAAAGCGAATGATTACTCGCTGTTCTTGTAACGAAAACGTCGCCACTTTAAGTATCAAAAACACTCCTCACGCTCACGGCCGCCACTAGAGTTCTGTGTGCCGTACAGTGCTATCATCTCTGTCACGCATTCACAAAGAGTGCACACGTATATTAAAGTAAACCGCATATGTCTATCTGTTCTCAGTCCTGAGAAAAAAAAATTGGAGACCTTAGAACTTGAACACCCCTCGTATATCTGTCCACAAGCCTTTCCAGTATTTTCAAAGGAAAAGAAGTAAGGTCGATAGGATGATAGGATTTTACCTGAATCTAGCTAGTAAACCTTGGCTTAGGTGTAAAGATAACTCTGACTGCTGACCAGAATAATGGGAAATACCTAAGAGCAGTGCAGGCTTTAAGTATATTTCAACCTTGATATTATGATATGATGCCTGAAAGCAGAAATAGTGGACTGAATAGTTGTGGCCATTGCTAGGCAGTGGCATACTGAACACGTTTCTGCAGCAAAAGTCGAGGAGTTGTATGACTCTCAGAGTCGTGAGACAGTAAGATAGGGGACCTGAAACAAAGGATGACTGCTGGGGAGGACAAGCAACAATTTACCTGACCCAACTAGCCAGTCAGTCAGAGATCTCTCTGAGTCGTGACACCGTAAGATGTGGGAATTTGAAACCAAGAATGACTGTGCTGGAGAGGGCTAGCAGCAGTTTACCTGGCTCAACAAGCTTTTGAGTTACATTGTTAGTAGTTGTTGCTTAGCACCAACTGGTGAACAAATAGAAGATTTTATATGTGCTACAGTTGTAGTGATCTAGAGAATGTACGAGGGCTGTTTGGAAAGTAACCTCTGTTTGTTTGAGGCAACTAATATAGGAGCAACGGAGAGCTCACGCACGAGAGGTAACATCAGATGACTGATTGCATTCTAAACTATCACATAACTGGTCACCTAGGGTTTGTTCTTGTGTCTACAGTGTGAGTTATAATCCCACCAGCTGCATAATTCATGCAGTTATCCACCTTCTTCATGCTGAAAACATAAGTGATGCTGAAATCCATAGTGAATTATGCACAGTGTATGGCCAAAATGCACAGACATCTGCCAGAAAACTGATGGAAACTGTTTTCTGGGACAGGAAAGGAATGCTGGTGGTGAAATTCATGCTACAAGGGTCCACAATGACACCAGAAGTGTACAAGGTGTGGCAATAAAGAAACCGGATTCATGCTCTAACCCTTTATTAAAAAAAAATCAGACAGTCGAAATGTTATCCCCTTCAATGTAGTCCCCTCCCCGATCCCTACACCGCTCCATGCGAATTTTCCACTGTTGGAAGCAGTGCTGCAGGTCATCTTGTGTTATGCTCTTCAAGAGTTGCGTCGCTTTTGCTTTCACTGCATCCACGGACTCGAACCTGGTCCCTTTCAGCGCAGACTTGATTTTTGGGAAGAGAAAAAAGTCGCACGGTGCTAGGTCCGGAGAATACGGTGGATGTTCCATCACTGGAATGTTGTTTTTTGCCAAATACCTCTTCACAGATAGCGCGTTGTGTGCTGGCGCGTTGTCGTGATGAAGAACCCATGAGGCATTCTTCCACATGTCTGGTCTCCTTCGTCGCACACGTTCACGGAGGTACGTCAAAACATTTTTATAATAAACCTGATTGACAGTCTGACCTTCAGGCACCCAATCAATGTAGATTACCCCCCGGATATCGAAAAAAACAATCATCATTGCTTTGAATTTGGACTTGCTCATGCGCGCTTTCTTCTTCCTAGGGGATTTGGGGCTCTTCCAATGCATGGATTGTCGCTTAGTCTCTGGATCATATTGAAGAATCCAAGTTTCGTCACACGTAATTACGTTTTGGAAGAAATCAGGATCATTTTCAATGTTTTCAAGAGTGTCAACACAGCAATTCACTCGATGTTCCTTTTGCTGGGGGGTAAGGATTTTTGGCACCACTTTAGCACACACCTTTTTCATGCCCAGATCGTCGTGCAAAATCTGTCTAACACTTTCCTTATTGATGTTCGTAAGTTCAGAAATTGCTCGAATGCTCAGTCGACGATCTCTTCGAACAATTCTAGCGACCTTCTCCACATTCTCTGGAGTTTTCGCAGTGGGAGGACGGCCCGATTTTGGATCGTTCCCGACGTTTTTCCTACCCTCCATAAACTTCTTAAACCACTCGAAAACTTGCGTGCGAGATAGACACTGATCACCATATACTTCTGTCAACAAATTGTAAGTTTCAGTGGCAGATTTTCCAAGTTTTGTGAGGAATTTGATGTTAGCACGTTGTTCTGCATTAGCACTCAGCATTATTCCGACGGAGCTCAGAAACACGATCCGCTTCTAACAATGGTCGCGGCCAGACTAACCGATGCACGTGAATGAAACTTTGTGTGACGGTAGAGGGAAGTCCAAGGGTCAATGCCCTACCCTCCTCTTCGTCAATGACGTGGCCGGAAATGAGTCATAAAAGTAATCCAGGTTCTTTATTGCCACACCTTGTATTGCGAAACACTAAAAATCTGTGTAGGGCCATTCAGAACAAAAGGCATGGAATGCTGACATCCAGTGTAGTGCTCCTCCACAGCGGTGTGCATCCACATACAGCTGCTGATATTCAAGCATTTCAACTGGAAGTTATTTTACCACCTTCTTACCGTTCTGATCTCACTCCAACTACCACCTGTTACCCTGCTTGAAGAACTGGTTGGGATCACAGCTCTTCAACAGTAGTGAGGAGTTTGGATGAAAGGTGGCAGACTTCTTAATTTAATTAATTTAATTTTTCCTCATTGCTTGTTTTATTAACACCTCACCAGGGGTTACTTTCCAAATAGCCCTCATAAGTTAATGAGCCTTTTATAGTTATTTGTATTGTAGTTACAAGTCATGATGGGCATTTGGTAAATCCAGTTATGCAAACCCCATGTCTAGTCACCAACACATAAGAATATTATGAGAGTTTATATAAAAAAGCTAGTTCTAATGGATATTCATAATAAACGAAAATATATGAAATGCATAAAGGTAGATCTGTCTTCTAAAATGCAGTGATATATAATACAATATGGCACCAAGGTTTGAATTATGATGAGGTTGTGCCGACATTTCTTCTTGGGAATGGTTACCATGGGGATATGACAATAATGAAGAATATATCAACATTTTCATGGTCATTAGCACTATCTGAACCAAAGAGTTAAAGATTTTCATAAACTTACATAACCTTTTCTTTCACATCCAGCTGATAATTAGGTGCCATGCTTTTGAGTGAAAGTCTTTGCTGCATGCTTGCAAGTCACAGCATGTGAGCACCTGATAGAATAAACTGGTTGACTTGGATTGAACTGAACAGACCAACACAGAATGTAGTTTAAATTTCACTAATACTTGACATACGAGTATGTGCGTTATGTTATAGGTTATTCTGAACACCACGATTAGAATACACGCAACTTTTTGGCATCATGTACATAAAAAGTGGTTGTGAGAAACACGTTGATTTGTTTCAGACTGGAGTAACAGACCAACACATGGTGCAATATAAATCTCACCAATACCTGATGTGCATACATTATGTATGTAAGAAATGGTTATGAAACAACCATTATACCTTACAGCTTAACTGTAAAGCACATGTTACGGTAGTGGCATGTAAACCATGTATGTAACTGTGACTGTTTAATTTTGTAACCTAATAAAATTAAGTTTACATAAGTTATCACACTTGTAATTAAAATGATTCTGTGCCTATGACATTATTGTAGTAGCACAGGAATCATTTCATTATATTGTAACGTGTTTTGTTGGTTACTGAAGATGCCATAGAGACCGTTAATTGGTTTATTGAACAACCTACAAGTAACGGCTACAATTACTTATCACACAGTTGCGGGGTTTCACACTTTATAACCCTAATCGCATTAATCTATTACCACTGTTGCGGGGTTTCACGATTTATAACCGTTACACCTCAGGGGGAGGGAGTGAGAAAATATAATTACTTTGGTCTGTTGCTACTCTTTTTCTAAAATCTTCGCTGCACTCGGCTGCCGTCGGCTGTCTTGGTTATGGTCACTCGGGATCGGTCGAGGACGGGATGGTTACGAACGGGTGAATCAAAACTTCCTGCGTACATCTTATCCTATGTACACTGATCTATTTACATTAATATTTACATTAAGAAAAGGGCCTGCTTGGTCTGTTGACATGACACTTCTCGCTACTCTCTCTCTCTTGGTTATTTTCCCTCTGGAGGTGGGAGGTACCCTGAAACTGTAGTTCTTTCATCGCCTGTCACTCTCTACTTGATTACTACCCTATTCGACCCTGGCTCTCGCTGGGGGTACACTGGAGATTGCACCTTGAAATCCTTCAACAACACTATTAAACAACATGGCTGTTATGCGTAAAGAGACTTACTTGCAATAAGTATGTAGATGACTGTTGCCATCCCCCATCTCGTTGCGCACATGTCGGCGAGGGCCTCTGGCTGACAACTCAATATTCTGTTAAGATCAGATTCCCAAGTCTCTCGAAATTCAGTGATTTATAGTTTTAATTTGCTAATTCAGCTGTTGATGACAGAGGGTAGTTAACTCCTCCTCAGTGTCCTCAATTCCCAAAGTAATATTCTCATTGGATATTCTAGGTGGCTGGGGGTGGACCCACGGTATCTTATTGCTGCGTATTTACTCCTATGACCATCTCCAGTGGCCTAGTTAGCGGAGCGTCTTACTTACGCTATTACGCATAAAT